TTACCAAGGGGAGTGGTGGACCGTGTGTCTTTGATATCTTCAGATCAAGACTGGATGCCTTTCAGGGAGCTATGCTTTAGTCAAACACAAGTTATTGGGCTCAATACAGGGGTAACTGGGTGAAATTCTCTGGCCTGTGACATAAGGAGGTCAGACTAGAGATCTAATGGTCCCTGTTGGTCTTAAACCTCCTTACGCTACAAATAATAATACTTTGTGTGGATCCTTCATCTTCATGGAGATTTACAAACATCAATTCTCAAAACCACTCTCTGAGATAGGTGTTAAACTCCTTTTTACACAGGGGAAAACTGAAGAACAGAGAGATTAAAGGTTAAATTTCCAAAAGAGGCCTTGAATTTGTTTGTCTCCATTTTCCAATGTCCATTTCTAGACTCCTTGGGCTTGATTTTCAGCAGTGCTGAGCACTTACAGCTCCTGATGAAGTCAATGGGAGCTGTGGTTCCTTAGGACCTCTAAAAGTCAGACCCAAGGAGTCTAGAAATAGGCACCCAAAAATTAAGGCACATAAAATGAGATGCTGTTTTTGGAAACTTGGGCCTCAGTGACTTGTCGAGATGGCACAGTGAGTTAATGGCAAAGCTGGAAATTGAATCTCTTGAGTTCTGACTCCCAGTCTGCTACTTTGATTAGCACACCCTCCCTTCTTCAGATATTTGAGCAATTCTCTTTCGCTTGACAAACCAGTAATATTGTTGCCCCTCTATTTCTTATCGAATCACAGAAATATAGGGCTGGAAGGGACTTCAAGAAATCATCAAGTCCAGTTTCCAGCTCTGAGGCAGGACCAAGTAAACCTAGACTCTCTCTGACAGGTGTTGGCCCAACCTGTTCTGTAAAATCTCCAGTGATGGGGATTCCACAACCTCCCTTGGAAGCCTATTCCAAATCTTATCCACCCTTATAATTACAAAGTTTTTCCTAATATCTAACCTAAATCTCCCTTGCTGCAGATTAAGGCCACTGCTTCTTGTCCCATCTTGAGCAGACATGGAAAACAATTGAACATCATCCTCTTTATAACAGCCCTTAACATATTTGATGACTTATCAGGGCTCCCCTCAGTCTTTTCTTAAAACTAAGCATACAGTCATTTTAATCTTTCTTCATAGATCAGGTTTTCTAAACCTTTTATAATTTTTGTTGCTATCCTGTGGACTCCCTCAAATTTGTCCACGTCTTTCCAGAAGTGTGGACCTTCATGAGAGAACCTTCCCTCTTATCCCATGACAGCTCAGTTTGCTTAAAAGCCTTTGGTGAGGGACCTTCTCAAAGGCTTTCTGAAAATCCAAGTACACTATATTGACTGGATCACTCTTGTCCATCAGCTTGCTGACACCCTCAGAGAATTCCAGTAGATTGGTGAGGCATGATTCCCCTTTACAAAAGCCATGTTGACTCTTCCCCAACATATCGTGTTCATTTGTGTGACTGATAATTTTGTTCTTTACTATAGTTTCAACCAATTTGCCTGGTTCTGAAGTTAAGCTTACTGGCCTGTAATTGCCATGATTACCTCTGGAGCCTTTTTTAAAAATAACCATTACATTAGCTTCCCTCTAGTCATCTGGTACAGAGAATGATTTAAGCAATAGGTTACATACTACAGTTAGTAGTTCTGCAATTTCATATTTGAATTCCTTCAGAACTCTTGGGTGATGTGATGGGCGTCTGCCCTACACTGGGCAGGAAAGGGTTAATAGAGATGTAGAGAGGCTGCATGAAAAGCAGCTAATAGGAGAAGGGCTGTGAGGAGCGGCCAATCAGGGCCCAGCAGCCCCATATAAGAAGAGCTTCAGGGCAGAGCAGAATCAGTAGCTGCTTGGAGCTCAAGGAGGGAAAATTGTCCCTGGAGTAGGCTGCAACCCTGTAGCACCTTGGACCAGAGTAATGCAGGCAGGAATCTGGGGAGAAGAGAAGGAACTCCAGATGGGCTGCTGCAACTGAGGCGGGTGCTGTGGCTGCAGGGAAATGGCTCCGGGAAATGCAGCAATAGCAGAGTCAAAGGGGTGTAGCAGGAGGCTGCAATTGACAGGGTCACTGGACTGGCATCTGGAGTAGTGGTTGGGTATGGGTGCCCCCCACTTGCCACTGGGGAAGTGGCAGGATAAGTGACTGCAGTTGCCACTGGGGAAGTGGCTAGACTACTGAGGAGCTGAACCTCCCCTAGAAGGGGGGAACATGGATAGTGACACGGCCGGAGGGCCGAGCCACGAAGAGGAGGCTGCGGTTCCTGATGCTGCAAGGGGGTTGCAGGAGGACTGCGGAGAAGGAGTGACGGGGTGCAGGACAATGGACAGGGGCGTCGATCTCAAACTAATCTCCAGAGAAACCTGGAGGAAGTGCCAGTCCGGTGGTAAGTGATGCATTCCATTACAGGTGAACACCATCTGATTCTGGTAACTTACTATGGTTTAATTTATCAATTTGTTCCAAAACCACCTCTTTTGACACCTCAGTCTGGAACAGTTCCTCAGATTTGACACCTTAAAAGAATGGCTCGTGTGGGAATCTCCCTCTCATCCTCCGCAGTGAATACTGAGGCAAAGAATTCATTTAGCTTCTCTGCAGTGTCCTTGTCGTCTTTGAATGCTCCTTTAGCACCTCGATCCTCCAGTGGCTCCACTGACTATTTGGCAGGCTTCCTGCTTCTGAGGTACTTAAATTTTTTGTTCTTAGTTTGTGTCTTTAGCAAGGTGCTCTTAATTCTTTCTACACTGCCTTATTATTCTTTTACATTTGACTTGCCAGAGTTTATTAATACTTTCTATTTTCCTCACTAGGATTTTAATTCCAATTCTTAAAGAATGCCTTTTAGCCTCTAACTGCCTCTTTTACTGTTTAACCATAGTGGCATTTTTTGGTCCTCTTACAATTTTTTTTTTATTTGGGGTATACATTTAGTTTGAATCTCTTTAAGGGTGTTTTTAAATAAATAGTCTCCATGTTTGCAGGCATTTCACGCCTTGTGATTTTTCCTTTTTAATTTCCTTCTAACTAGCTTCCTCATTTTTGTGTAGTTCTCCTTTTTTAATGCCACTCTGGTGGGTTTCTTTGGCATTTCCCCCCAGAATAGTCCTTATGGCTGATTATGGTCACCTTTTGTTTCAGGATAAGATTTCATTACAGTATTTGCTATAAGGTCTTGCTTCTTGTATGGACTGCAAACTAAATTGTGTAAGGTTCTTTTGTAATCCCTTTAGTAACCATATAATCCTTTCCAAAATGTTATCCTGCCTGAAAGTCTCTGTAAAATTGTTTGTGAGTAAAGGATGTGTGCATGGTTAAGGATGAGTGTGAAAGCCATCACAAATGTCCAGATGGTCAAGAAAAAGTGAAAGACTTGGAAACACAAGGAGACAATCAGAAAACATCCATCGTCTCTGATGCTAAACATGTTAGCACCACTGACGACCTCAGAGGTGAGGCAGGCACCCCCGAAGGCGAGACAACAAACAGGAGATAACGATGGGAAGCCCAACAATAACCATCAAATGATAACAGTGGAAAACCCCAAGATTAACACCATTTAAGGACTAACGATTACAGAATAACACTGCAAAATCCATAGGCTAAAGTGGAAATTTACAAGTATAAAGCTGGGGTGTTTTGCCATAGAACTCTCGGTTCAGTCCTGTAAAGCATCGGATCAGGACCGACAGAGCCCAGCTCCTCACTCGTGCTCAATCTAACTGGCCATTAGATTAACTCAAGCTACGACAGACTGGTAACTATAAAGACCATCTGCAGGACGTGTGTGTGTGTTTTCAATAAACGCAGCGTGTTGCCTTCTCCCCTATAAAAAGATCCCGTGTGCTTTGTATGAGCATAACATACATTCTGCTGGAGAGGTGCTGCAGTTACGCCTTTTGCCCACCAGGGGTTTCTGGGGTGCCAGAGCAGAGAGCAGCCACTCCCGAGCAGGAACAGCCCCAGCTGTGGATAGTGAAGAGAAGAGGCTGCATTCCTCACAGCGCCCTGCCCATGGGGCCAGGTCAGGAGGCATGGGATGGGGGGGGACAGACAGCGTGGGGCATATGGGGTTACTGAAGGGCCACATGGGGGGAGGAGTGTGGCTGAGTGCATGTACAGGGAAACATGGGAACAGGAAGGTGCAATGACACATGGGGATGGGGGGCAGATATGTCTCACTGAATGAGAGTGGTTAGGGGTCAGCCAGGGTCTGTATGGGAGAGGCTCCCTAACAATTTCCCCCTTCCCCCACAGAAAACCCATGTTCCATACTTCTCACACTCACACCCAACGACCCTCCAAGTTCATACCCAGGCTCCTTCCCAACAATTACTTCCCTCAACTCCTCTGTCACACCTGACTCCCCCAGGCCTTGCACTGCTTCTGAGGGGTGAGGGAAATAAGTTTATGTATTGTAGTTTAAAATGTATTATTACTCAAAGTTCTGTATTACTATGCCGATGAAGGAATCTATTTGTCAAAACACATTTGAATCTTTTTTGTCTGTATTGTTACAAACATACTTGCAGACAGGTATCTTGAAATAAAATTAACAACACAATTGAAACTGGCGTGACTATATTTTGTTATTTGGACAATTAAAATATGAAGAATTTAATTTTTTGGTGCAGAATTCCCCCAGGAGTTTAAGGACCTACATTAGGAGCAAGAGAAAGATGAACGGAAGTGTATTTCAAGAACCTCTTATTGCCTTTTTGTCCCTTGTTAGGTATAATTCATTTTGTGTCTTATCCTTTCTAATTTTGTCCCTACATGCTTATACTATTCTTTAGTACTCCTCCTTAGCGGTTTGTCAAAGTTTCTTCTTCTTGTAGTATTCTTTTTTGGATTTTTCAGGTCATTAAAGAGCTCCTGCTGGAGCTACATTGGCCTCTTACTATTCTTCTTATCTTTCCTTCACATTGTGATAGTTTAAAGTTAACTACTTTTCACTTTTTAAGGAGACAACAGCTGCAAATTGTTTTTACTGCTTACCCACTACTTACCCAATACTTCAAATACAAATTTTGTATACTGGAGCTGGTTATCGTCAGCAGCTAGAACCTGTGCCTCATACTCTGCAGCATCATGAAGGTTTAACTTTTTGATGGTCAAATTGCCAGAAGATGTGTCAAGCTGTCCTCTCTCTCCAAAGCTAGAAAAATACGTAGGCAACCCACCACTTTCCCATTCAGCCACTTTATTTTTTTTTTTCATCCAGGTAATTTCGTATATAGCACCCTTAAATTTTGGTGAAAAAGTAAACTCTTCTCCCACAATCGCAAACACAGACTCTTGATCTTGAGACCGGGTGCATACTATGCCAAAAAAGAAAATACATTTAATTAGTCCCCAGTTATCTAAACTATTGTTTGAGTCATTCTGTATCTATTATATATAATATTACACACAAAAACTATGGTAAAAGAACATTAAGACTGCAAAGTCAAGCACATAAAAGTTAGGAAGTCCTCAAATTAAGGTTGCCCAGGTATGACTTGTAATTTTTTTTTTCCAAAGGCTTATAACTTGTCCAAATTCAATCTGATTTTCACAAGGATGTAAAAGGCACATCCTTGACACAAAGGCCCCCTCTTCCTTGCCAAATTTCAAGTCTCTGCTCCAAAAGCATGGGGCACCAGCACTGTTCAAAGAAAAGGTCACCAGAATTTAATATGGGCAAAACAATGTATCGTCCCCCCCAACACTAGCCTCGTTCTCAGAAACATCTGAACCATTTTGGCTAAAATCTTCCAAAAATTTTCAGCCTGAAGTAGACACTTTTCAGATCAGAAACACACTTTAAATAATTGCACAGGTTTATAAGATTTGGGGCTTTTTCCAACAGAAGAAATACACTGGTGCTGCAGGAAAGCATCAAACACACTGATATCACAGATCTTATGATTAAATATAGTGATGTCTCATAAATGATCAGTACGAGGTAATGTGGGGGTGGTCATTCACATCCAGCCCTCCCCCAATTGCATTCAGGACAGCAAAAATATCCTTGCTGTGTACTTTACATTTTGTCTGTCAATAACTCTGGGGAAGTGTTGAGCTTCACTGCCTTTTGTTGATAGAAATTCTAGACATATTTGGCATTTCTTAATCAGAGTGGGATGAAAATACTGAATGTGACAAAATTATTCCTGGCTGCTTGATACCAGCATTTCCAGGATGGCCCCACAAAATTGGAGGCAGAGGGCAACCTTGCATGGTTTCTTTTAGGAACAGGTGAAGGTTTGTTGTGATCATAGCAGCATTGCAGAGGCTGACACACTATACTTCATGCCTTCTATGGCACTGGCTCACTGGCTTTGGTTAGATTTGGTTACTGATAAAATGGTGAATATTTTGTATTCTGGGTTTTTAATTTTTGTTTTTCAAAGAAAAGTATCAGTCATGAGTTCTGTCTGGTTTACCTACTTTAAAGTAAGATTTGGAATTTTGGCAGGTGCTTAAATAACTAGTTTCAGAGTAACAGCCGTGTTAGTCTGTATTCGCAAAAAGAAAAGGAGTACTTGTGGCACCTTAGAGACTAACCAATTTATTTGAGCATGAGCTTTCGTGAGCTACAGCTCACTTCATCAGATGCATACCGTGGAAACTGCAGCAGACTTTATATATACACAGAGAATATGAAACGCAGGACAGTGGGGTGGGAGGAGGTATTGTTTCATATTCTCTGTGTATATATAAAGTCTGCTGCAGTTTCCACGGTATGCATCTGATGAAGTGAGCTGTAGCTCACGAAAGCTCATGCTCAAATAAATTGGTTAGTCTCTAAGGTGCCACAAGTACTCCTTTTCTTGTTTCTTAAATAACTAGTAATATTTCTCATGAAATATCGGATAGGTGACATTTTCCTCCCTCTGCCTGGAGAGAGAACTCCTAAGGATAAGGAATATATATCAGGTGCCTCTCAGCCTTTAACACTAATCAAACAGAAACCTATCTGTACTGAAAATTACCCATTTGAATATCTTTCATCAGATGATAAGAAAAGGGATCATTGCTATCAGAACATTAAGCTAATTTGACCAAAATGGATGTTTTGAAACATGAATTCTGATTCACAGTGTGGTTGAAGCTCTTTGCCACAAAGGCCCTGCTTTGGCCACTTGATATGTCTAACTATATTTTGGTGTGAACAAAGCGAGCCTCCCAGCCTGGGCCGACAGAATCGGGCTATTGGGACTTGTGCTAGTGCCCTAAAACTAGCTGTATAGACAGCGTTTCAAGTGTGGCTTGGGATCTGAAGCCCACTCCCCTCCCTAGACTCTAGGGCCCAAGCTCCAGCCTGAGCCACAGCTTAAAAGAGCTGTAGCTACAGGCATGAGCTGGGGCTAGCCTGAGTCTGTCAACCTGTCTGCGAGGCTTGCTCCTGCTCACTCCAAAATGCAGTGTAGCTACTGCACGATAGCAACTCCCCTCTCAAGTGGCCAAAGCAAGGCTTTTGTGGCAAAGAGCTGTGAACCGCGGGGGCCAAAGAGCTGTTTGTGCAGCTCACAGAAGAATTTTGCGCATAGCAACTTACTCCAGAAAGGCTGGGTTAGTTTGACAATAGACATATTAACCAAATTAGGTTTTTTTCCCTCTCTTGTCATCCAGCAAAGGGGAAAAAAGGATTTTTTATCTATAAAGAAAGGCTGTAAAGGTGTTTGTTTAGGGGTTTTTGCCTACATTTTTTACATTAGAAATTCAGGTCTTGTCTACCCTGTTTATCCTGGACAACTCAATGGAGAATTGATGGTTATATAGGATGACTTCGTCATAGATATGAAGCAATGAAACCCGAATAATTGAGAGGGAAAGGAATTTTCATTCAGACTGTTTAAAACTCTTTGGTTTTGTTAACACCTATTTAATTCAGTTAGAAGAAAATATCTGTTTACTAAAGAGTCAGTTTTCCTGCCCCTACAGTTAAAAATGGAAACAACTCCCAATAGAGCTGAGTCACTCAGGGAAACATCCAACAAAATCAAAGACCAGATGTTCCTCATATTTGTAAGGTAAAAGCAAGCGAAATTAAAAAAAAAAAAAAAACTGGATGTTTTGTTTAAAAAATTATCAGGTTTTCCTTACCTATCATGAAAAAACAAAAGGAGGGCAGAAGACAAATTTTTTTTTCAGGTCCCCTTTAAATTGAGGGGAAAGAAAGTGTGTTTGCTCTACCAGGAGAGATGCCCACCACTATCCTTCTGTCCACTTATCAACACAGAATAAAGTACCTCTCTATTTCATACAGGCTGCATCGATTTTAAGAACATTCACATCTCCTCTTCTCCAAACTGAAGGAGAAACAAAAGGAAACCCTCCCTCCCGCAACCTAAGTACTGAGGAAATATAGCAAAAGTCAAATGAGTTTAGGAAAAGAGTAAGATTTTTAAATGTCAGGTAAAAGACAGGTAAAATAGTCCAGGAACAATAAAAAAGAGTTTCCTAACTCTTGAGAGCGCATCCACCAGCCAATGTGTCCACATGTCACAGTGTGAGTGTGTGGAAACATTACTTCTTCAACATATCTATTTACATATTTATTTATCTACAACATATCTCCTCTGTGATCTTGGCATGAAACTCTGGCCCTGCTGAAGTCAATGGGAGACTTCAATAAAGCCAGGATTTCACTCTTGGTATAATCATTTGAGCCCTGATCCTGCAACTTGTTTCACATGGACAGACTCTTGCACCCATGCAGAGTAAAATGTATTCAGTGGGGTTCTGAGAGCGTGCGAAGCTCTGTAGATGAACAAGTGGCAGGAACAGAGCTTTATTTGCTCTAGAAATGCCAGTGTGCCTCTACTGTGTACAGTTGGCATTTCTAGAGCATTATCACCTTGCCACTTTCATCATCAGTGCCATTTTGGACAAACACTGGCAAGGGCAGGGGACAAAAATAGACAGACTCAGGAAGACAAAGCAGATATAGTATGGCTTTAAATTCCTTTAAAGGAGGAGGCACTTAGATACTATGGTGTGGGGGGCCATAGAGGTGGCAGCTGGTGAGCTGCGATTGCAGTTCGTGATTAGCTAAGAATTGTGCCCACCCTACTATTTTTGTTACCCTGTTGCCCGCCACCCTGATCCCCTTATTTGCCTCATCCACCTGTTATGTGCTCTTTTAAAATGTAAGCTCTCTGGGGCACAGAATGGCCTTTGCTATATGTTTCTTCAGGGTCTAGCACAATGGGGCCCTGACCTGGTTGGCATGTAGGTGCCACCGCAATTTATTTTAATTAATATTTACTTATTCAGATAATTTGCTATCTTTCAAAGTGAATAACTGAAACCAATATGATACTGCAATATAATTTATGATACTGACACACATCCAGATCTACATCATTGCCCAAAAAAACTGCTGAAAATCAAGCAGACACCAAGATCCTGACCCTGCAATTAGAGAGCCCGGGGCATGTAAGGGATGGTTACATCTCAAGGGATGGTTTGAAACAGTTAGCAACAGAGCAAAGACAACATCATAACAAAAAGTAACTTTGTTCTTATATCCCGTTTTATATACTCAGCAAACTCCCAATTAAACAGAAAAAGTCACAAGCAAGTCTCCTATGTGAAAATAATTAAATTAATACAAATCATGAATCAGAATTCATGTTTCAAAACATCCATTTTGGTCAAATTAGCTTAATGTTCTGATAGCAATGATCCTTTTTCTTATCATCTGATGAATGATTTTCAAATGGGTAATTTTCAGTTCAGATAGGTTTCTACTTGATTAGTGTTAAAGGCTGAGAGGCACCTGATATATATTCCTTATCCTTAGGAGTTCTCTCTCCAGGCAGAGGGAGGAAAATGTCACCTATCTGATATTTCATGAGAAATATTACTAGTTATTTAAGCACCTGCCAAAATTCCAAATCTTACTTTAAAGTAGGTAAACCAGACAGAACTCGTGACTGATAATTTTTGTTTTTTAAAGAAAAGTAAAAACCCAGAATACAAAACATTCACCATTTTATCAGTAACCAAATCTAACCAAAGCCAATGAGCCAGTGCCATAGAAGGCAAGAAGTATAGTTTGCCAGCCTCTGCAATGCTACTATGATCACAACAAATTTTCACCTGTTCCTAAAAGAAACCATGCAAGGTTGCCATCTGCCTCCAATTTTGTGGGGCCATCCTGGAAATGCTGGTATCAAGCAGCCAGGAATAATTTTGTCACATTCAGTATTTTCATCCCACTCTGATTAAGAAATGCCAAATATGTCTAGAATTTCTATCAACAAAAGGCAGTGAAGCTCAACACTTCCCCAGAGTTATTGACAGACAAAATGTAAAGTACACAACAAGTTTCAGAGCAGAGCCATGTTAGTCTGTATTCACAAAAAGAAAAGGAGTACTTGTGGCACCTTAGAGACTAAGCAATTTATTTGAGCATGAGCTTTGGTGAGCTACAGCTCACTTCATCGGATGCATAAAAGTGGAAAATGCAGTGAGGATGTTTTTATACATACAGACCATGAAAAAATGGGTGTTTATCACTTCAAAAGGTTTTCTCTCCTCCCACCCCACTCTCCTGCTGGTAATAGCTTATCTAAAGTGATCACTCTCCTTACAATGTGTATGATAATCAAGGTGGGCCATTTCCAGCACAAGGGGAAATAGGTTACCTTGCATAATGACTTAGCCACTCCCAGTCTCTATTCAAGCCTAAGTTAATTGTATCCAATTTGCAAACAACAAGGATATTTTTAATGTCCCGAACGCAATTGGGGGAGGGCTGGATGTGAATGAACACCACCACATTACCTCATACTGATCATTTATGAGACATCACTATATTTAATCATAAGATCTGTGATATCACCACGTGTTTCTGATGCTTTCCTGCAGCACCAATGTATTTCTTCTGTTGGAAAAAGCCCCAAATCTTATAAACCTGTGCAATTATTTAAAGTGTGTTTCTGATCTGAAAAGTGGCTCTGAAATATTCACATCCTGGGGTCCTGTTGTCTCTCAGGGTAAATCTACACGACAGCAGCACAGCTGCAGTACTGTAGTGTAGATACTCCCTACATCAACGGAAGGGGTTTTCTCATCAATGTAGGTAATATAGAAAGCAGCTTTCCGTTAATCTAGCCGTGTCTTCACTAGGAGTTAGGTCAACCTAGCTCAGAGGTGGGCAAACTACGGCCCACGGGACCATCCTGCCCGGCCCCTGAGCTCCTGGCCTGGGAGGCTGTCCCCCCTCCCCAGCGCAGCGCAATGCTCTGGACGGCCAGGCAGCAGAGCCTGGCCTGACCCAGTGCTCTATGCTGTGCGGCGCGGCTGCCTGTCCTGGTGCAGCCACACTGCCAGGCACCGGTCCTCCAGGCAGTGCAGTAAGGGGACAGGGAGCAAGAGGGGGGTTGGATAGAGGGCAGGGCAGTTGGGGGGGGGGGGTGGTCAGGGGCATGGATAGGGGTCGGGGTGGTCAGAGGGCAGGGAGTGGGGGTTGAATGGGAAAAGGGGTCCCAGGGGGGTAGTGAGGAAGGAGAGGAGGGGTTGGATGGGGCAGCAGGGAGTGATCAGGGGACACGGAGCGAGGGGGTGGATGGGGCAGGGGTCCTGGGGGGGGCAGTCAGGGAGGAGAGGGTGGGGGTTGAATGGGGTGGTAGGGGGCAGTTAGGGGCAAGGGGTCCAGGGACAGTCAAAGAAAAGGGGTGGTTGGATGGGGCAGGGGTCTCAGGGGGGCAGTTAGGAAGAAGGGGGGGGTTGGATGGGGCAGCGGGGGGGCAGTTAGGGGTGGGCGGTCAAGGGACCGAGAGAGGGGAGGGAGGTGTATGTATGGGGCAGGAGTCCCCGGGGAGCCGTCAGGAAACAGGGGAGTTTGGATGGGGCAGGAGTCCCAGGGGGGCTGTCAGGGGGCGAGAAGCAGGAGGGTTGGATGAGGGTGGGAGCCAGGCCATGCTCGGCTGTTTGGGGAGGCACAGCCTCCCCTAACCGGTCCTCCATACAATTTCAGAAACCCGATGGGGCCCTCAGGCCAAAAAGTTTGCCTGCCCGTGACCTAACTACTGTGCTCAGAGAGTGAAATTTTTTAGTCTTGAGCAACATAGCTAGGTCCACCTCAGGGCCAGATTTACACCTTACACGCCGCTAGGCACAGCATCTATAGCACCCTGATGCCTACAGCTGATCTTTGTGTTGCACACAGTTTTAGAGAAGTAAGTAGGGTGACCAGATGTCCTGATTTTATAGGGACAGTCCCGATTTTTGGGTCTTTTTCTTATAGGCCCCTATTACTCCCCACCCCGTCCCAATTTTTCACATTTGCTGCCTGGTCACCCAAAAGGTAAGGTACCCCTAGAACGGCATTCCTAGGCATGTGCCTAATGTTCCTAATTGGCAATCCAGCCCTGGTCAACCTACATTTTATGTGTAGACCAGGCCTCAGTGATTCCAGATTAAATGTGCTCAGTTTACAGGTCAAATTATTATTATTTTTCTGATGGTCAGCCCTGCAAAACCCCAGATGGATTCTTTCTGCCACATGCATCATCACCAGCACTAAAAATTCTCTGAGCCAAGATAGGCCCTTAACAATATCTGTGTAATTCCATTTTCCTCAGTGGGTTTACAGAGGTGTAAATGATAGAAACCTAGGCTGCGATAGTCAATCAGCAGACAATGGGCCAAATCCAGACCACCAGATGCTTTTGAACAGACCCTGAAATCCTATTATTACTACTTTCTCTGGAGTCTGGACCTTGACTATACCTTGGCCAAGAAACTTGGACCCTGACAGAAAATAATTGACTACCCTGACCTAGGCCTTCATTCTGCAAATGACTCCATGTGGACACACACCCACACTGAGACCCAGGGACGTTTTGCCTGGGTTTGCCCACGTCAAGGCAATTGCAGGTAGGGTGACCAGACGTCCTGATAAAATCGGGACTGTCCTGATTTTTAGTTCTTTGTCCCGCGTCCCAACCGATGCACGGTCGGGACACCATTTGTCCCAATATTGTAGCTTTGGCCGCTCCAGCAGGTTTTGGGGGTTTTTTTGCTTCCCGCATGTGTCCCGATATTTTGTCCGTTTCATCTGGTCACCCTAATTGGAGGTTTGAGCTCTTAGCAAATAATTCTGTTCCTGAGACACAAAGAGGAACAGACTTCAGCTCACAATTGTGTCACCTCTGTGGGGCTGGCAAGCATCCAGAACCATAAACTTTTTGTGCGTCTGCACCACTGGACCCAGATAAGACACTGGCATGAGCAGGGAGCAGCTAGGAAGAAGCTATTTCCACCCTCCCTTTTTCTGGGCGCGTCCCCGCTGTCCCTGTAATTGCAGGGGGAGCTGGCCCAGACCCTTCACTTTCATTCAGACTGAAAACAACTTTTCCGGGTTGGGAAAAGGCTTTTTATAACAAACAATCCCAGGAAGAACCCTCCGCCCGCCCCCACTAGTCGGGGCCGGCCAGCCCCGCCCCGTGGCTTCCCGGTCTCGCTCCCCCGGGACCCAGCCTCAGCCCTTCCAGTTCCCTCGCACTTCCCGCCCCAGTGAAGCCCAAGCACGGCCCGGACCGCGGGGCAACGCCGCCCCCTCTGCGCAGCGTTGCTGCGGGAGGTGCGGGTCGGGGCCCCGGGACGGCGGGGAGCTTCTCGCACGCGGTCCCGGCGGCGAGGCGGGGAGGGGAGGGGAGGGAGGCGGCAGCCGCCCTTACCCAGCAGGGCGCTCAGCAGCAGCAGCAGCCGCAGCCCGAGCGCGGAGAGGCGGCCGGCGAGCCCCATGTCGGCTCGCGGGGCCGGCGGGTTCGCTCCACTCTGCTCCGGGGCCGCCGCGCTGCACAAACCCAGGCGGCGCCGCCCCCAGACCGAAACTGAAACTAAATCGTGGTCCGGCCCCTACTGCGCCGCAGCGTCCCTGGCACCGCCTCCAAGCCAGCCCGCCTCCTGTCGGCGCCTCCCCACCGCCCCCGTCCTCGGCTCCGCCAGCCGCCTCCCGCCAACCCACACCCCCTCCCTTCCCCCATCGCCCTCATCACCCCCCTCTCTCCTGGCCCCGTACACCCCTCCATCCCTCTGCCTCTCCCATAGCCCCCCGTCTCCATCAAGCCCTCTTCCCAGTGGCGGATTAACCCGCGGTCTCTGCAGGAGCCGCCTGGGTAGAGCTGGGCTCCTCCTCCTCGCTCCTCCTTTCCCCAGCCCCTGCCCCTTGGCCACGCTGGAGCTGGGTAGGGTTGCCAGGTGTCTGGTTTCCGACTGGACACGCTGTCAAAAAGAAAAGGAGGACTTGTGGCACCTTAGAGACTAACCAATTTATTTGAGCATAAGCTTTCCATCCGATGCATCCGATGAAGTGAGCTGTAGCTCACGAAAGCTTATGTTCAGATAAACTGGTTAGTCTCTAAGGTGCCACAAGTACTCCTTTTCCTTTTTACGAATACAGACTAACATGGCTGTTACTCTGAAAACTGTCAAAAAGGGACCCTGGTGGCTCCAGTCAGCACCACCGACCAGGCTGCTAAAAGTCCTTGGCGGCGGTGGTGCAGCGGGGCTGGCAGGCTCCCTGCCTGGCTCCGCGTGGCTCCCGGGAAGAAGCCGGCATGTCCTTCCAGCTCAGGGGCCGCCATGGGGGCTCCATGCACTGCCCCTGCCCCAAGCACCGGCTCCGCAGCTCCCATTGGCCGGCAAGTTCCTGACCAATTTTGATATAGACTTTAATAAGATGTACGGGACATGACAGACAATGCAACGTACTGCACTCGAGCATATAATCAGGTTCTACAGGGGCTACTTCCTAATTCAATGCATGTAAAGTGCAATGAGCATATTGTAATTCTGGCAGCAATCAGTGGTGCATTCGTTTTTCTGAAGTCAAGAAATTCACTGCTGCTAAAAAAAAAATGTTTAAACACTGCACAGCTCGCAAACTGTGTTTCCAGACTTTCTTTGCAGGAAAAAAAACAGCTTAATCCTCCTGACCAAGTGCCTCTCTTTCCAGAACCAGTGGTGACACAATGGAATTCGTGCTTTGAAGTAGTTCTTTACTGTGCTGAGCATGTAAGTGACTACGGCGAGTTTGTTGAAAGTGAAATGGCGATTTCACTTGATACTCAAATAATGGACAGCCTGATCTCACTTTTAAACACTGTGAACTTGCTATAGTTAATTTTGGAATGCCAAACCATTGGTGAAAACCACCAAATCTTTTGAGATGTGTTCTATTTCTGTCCATCAATTGTACAACACTGTATGGATTTGACACACTGGGCAGACTCCAATGCAAAGGAAAAGCACAAAGAAGATGCAGAGCGGAATGTGTTTTTACAAGGAGTGTTCAAGAAAACAGCAAACAAACTGACAGACTACTACTGAGGAAAGTGTTGCCAGACCTGCTTAACAAGGATCAAGGTTCACGCAGCCTGGACTGGCATTGATGAAAGCAGTTCAGGTATTTGATGTGAAACAAGTGAACACGTTATCAGAGCAGGCACTCCTTCTGGAGGCAATCCCTAAGTTTGGCCATGAAGCTACAGCACAGCTTTCCCCATACAAATGTTTTGCAAGTGAATGTGAATGAAATGATCTTGTTTTGGGATTCACCTAAAGTTCTACAGCATTTTCTAGAGTTAGCAGGGACAGCAAAGCGATCATTATCAATCTTGCCTAATTCTGTGGATGCCAAGTGTGCAGTATCTCAGTAGAGACAAGTCTTCACAATGCAAAGACAGGGCGTAAAGGAGACCCCCTGTAGCAAGGTGTACCGCACTAATATTCAATGCCTGTAAAATGTAAAAGGCTAAAGTGACAGGACTTGTTTCTCCAGCAGTTGTGTTAAGACTTTTAATCTCCTGAATTGTATATTGTACCAGTCACTTTTTAAAAAATAAAATATAGTTGCAGAAAAATGTCTGGTTATCAAAAAAATTAGCAGGCATAACATAATACTTGAGTGTTTATATCATTCCAGCAAATTTTTCTTAAAGAAATAAGAACATAAGAATGGCCCTAGTGGGTCAGACCAAGGGTCCATCTAGCCCAGTATCCTGTCTACTGACAGTGGCCAATGCCAGGTGCCCCAGAGGGAATGAACAGAACAGGTAATGAAAAAGTGATCCATCCCCTGTCGCTCATTCCCAGCTTCTGGCAAACAGAGGCTAGGGACCCCATTCCTGCCCATCCTGGCTAATAGCCATTGATGGACCTATCCTCCATGAATTTACATAGTTCTCTTTTGAATCCTGTTATGGTCTTAGCCTTCACAACATTCTCTGGCAAGGAGTTCCATAGGCTGACTGTGCGTTCTGGGAAGAAATACTTCCTTTTATTTGTTTTAAACCTGCTGTTTATTCATTTTATTTGGTGACCCCTAGTTCTTGTGTTATGAGAAGTAGTAAACAACACGTCCTTATCTACTTTCTTTATACCAGTCATGATTTTATAGACCTCAATCATATCTCCCCTTAGCCGTCTCTTTTTCAAGCTGAAAATCGGCTTTTTTAAACTACCATTATTAGTAAAGGTCCATTACTTTTCCATGATTTCCCACATCTTGTCCACTGCTCAGCCACAATTATTTATAGACCATCCTGCGATTCAAGCAGGACCTTATTTATGCACATATACTTATGCCTGTGAGCCATCGCCCCCTTATTTCCCCAATTCCCCCCCTACCTTCCCGGGATACCATGGCTGGGACTGGTGCCATGCCCTATGAATCCCAAGGAGAACTGAGAATGTAGTGCTTGTAACTTGTGTGGGTCAAGGGGACTGAATTCAGTGTACCACATTTCCATTTATCTTACAAATACACTCACAATAGTACCTCTGTGCCTTGTATCTTTTGCAGCTGGAAATGTGGCCTGGGGGTCTCTCCATCCACACCAGCAGAGCAGCTCAGCCAGATAAGATGATCACGATGGTCCCTTCTGACCGCAAAGTCTCTGAGATAAGGAGGAGAAGGAAGAGGACGTGAGATGACATGTTCCAAGAGATCCTACAAGCCTCTACTGCTTCGAATACTGAGCAGAAGGCTTAGAGGCAGGGCTGGATTAACCTTTTGTGGGCCTGGTGCCAAACATTTGTGGGCCCCCATGGGGTACAATTGTAAAAGACAGGAGCTAGACACAGAAGTTGCTTTTGACACAGCTGCACAGGTTTTATTTACAAAATTCACAAGTTAAAGTTACAGATGGAGGTGGCTGCCCCGAGAGTACCAGCAATGGTAGCCTTTGGACAAAAGAATACACACACGTGTACAACAAATAAATTAGAAAAGAAAACATACAAAATAAAACACAGTGGGTAAAAACAACTAACAAAAGCCAAAGCTGGCCAAAACCACCAGTCATGTGCTGCTCCCACTAAAAGGGAACCATCACACTATCTCACCCTTCACATTTCACATATTAACAACCAGGGCTTGAATTAAATTTTTGTATGAAATTGGGGCAGATTTAAAACTCTTCAAAACATTTTAAAAACACAAAATATGAAAAACTTTAATACATTTTACTGATAGCACCATTATTCATACTAGACTTGCTAGTTACCAAATAGCAACTGTGAAAAAACAGGACAGGGGGTGGAGCGTAATAGGTATATATATATAGTATTATATATATAGCATTATATAAGAAAAAGTCCCAAAAACCGGGACTGTCCCTTTAAAAATGGAACATCTGGTCACCCTACTTGCTAGTCCTTCCCTGCTGGCAGGGAAGTACAGAGACTAGGATCAGGACCAGCTGTGCACCTAAAAGACTCAGCCAACCCTTCAAATTGGACCTGGCCCACATCCCTCCCCACAATGACCCCCCCCAGACTGGACCAGAGCCAGACCCCTCCCCAGACCGAAACCCCCAAACTGGACCAGACCCCCTTCCAGCCCAAACTGGATCAGACCCCTCTATGAGCCAACCCCTCTTGACCCAAAACTCCCCACTGCCTACCAGAACAGGGCTCCTGGCTCTCAAACCTCTATTCCCAAACCAGTCTCCACCCCAAAATCCCAGATGGACCGCTATGAGGCACCCCACTCCCGATTCACCCCCTGCCGACGATCCACCCCTGTTCTCTGAACCGGGCCAGGCCTCATCTGGCTGTAGCTTGGACCAAGGCTCACCTCCACACCGGCCAGCACTGGCAGGGGCAGTGCAGCAGAAAGGGTTGGGACAAGTGTCCGGGCTTAGTGCTGACCCCAGCAGTGGGGAATCCCTAGCCACAGGGGATGCCTGAGCTCAGCCCATGCCCATCTCAGACTAATTTGGGAAAGGGGCTGCATAGAATCATAGAATATCAGGATTGGAAGGGACCTCAGGAGGTCATCTAGTGTAACCCCCTGCTCAAAGCAGGACCAATCCCCAATTTGTGCCCCAGATCCCTAAATGGCCCCCTCAAGGACTGAACTCACAACCCTGGGTTTAGCAGGGCAATGCTCAAACCACTGAGCTATCCCTCCGCCCCAGGGCATAGGGGACCCAGGATGAGGGGGAGGGGACATGACCGCCCCACCAGAAGCTGGGAGGGGGCTGAGCCACGGTGGCAGCTCCAAAGGGAGGGGCACAGAGCCATGATCTGTGCCCCACAGCTGCAGAATGGAGCCCAGTGCCCGAAGGAGCCATGCCCCGGAGAGTGGAACGTGGGCCCAGTAGTGAAGCACCCCCAGCACCATGCGTTGGGGCACAGCCACCTGAGGCTGGGGGTCCCCTCCCCATGGCCACACTTGCTGCCGCTCCTCCTGGCTGCCCTGCTTTCAAGCCTCGGCGGCTCCAGCCACTTCACCGAGCCCAGGGTGCAGTGCTGGGGAGCTGCCCCCTGCAGGTGGCTCTGTGCACTCTGTGGGGTGGCCTCCTGCACCAGCCCAAGGGCCAGCGCCTGCT